TTGGGGTTACCCCAAATGTCTTCTGGTGGGCCACAGTGACTGCAGTTGTTGGGCAACTTCAGCTTGGGTTTGGTGTTTGAATACTGACCAGAAACTTCAGCCAAGATTGGGCACAAGGCAAATAGTCTGCAAGAGACACTCGCTGCCCCCAAAAGCTTATGACAGAAATAGTCAAAACAGAAGTGGACATTGAGTCTGTGTACGGACCAGCCAGTATTTCTGGGTAAGCCGGCGCGCGGCCAGGCATGGATATCAACTCTTCCAATTCGGAAGAATCTGCCTGTACGCTGAGGCTGGCTCTCTTCCATGGCCCTGGCACTGAGTTTCCCTCCTATGATCCCTTCCCAGGGCTGTTTTCACTGAGAGCAGTTGGAAGCAGAGGGTGCCCTGGGTACCCCGGAGTTCGGACGCTCTGGCGGCGCGTCTGGGTGTGACTGGTAGAAGCAGTGACAGCTTCTGCACCTGAAGCTTTGTGGCTTTGCCTGAGCGTTTCTTCAGGGACACAACACTGCAATTTGATGGGAGAGCGCGAACCGGGTGGTGCGGTACAGAGCGCTCCATCCTGGTTTAATACCTAAGGTAACTCAGGCAGCCTTGCTAGCTGCCTCCAGCTGAGGATTCAGGCCTTGATTCAGCTCAGCACCTACATGGGGGCTTGATATGAGGAATGTGCCTAAATTCCCAAGATTAGCTTTGGATATAAGTTTCTGAGGGGGGCCCAAGCCAAGAACACACTCTCATATTTGATTTTCAGAACAGGGCTGTTTCTGTCAGAGCATCACTGAAAAACTATGAGCAGAGATGTTCAGTAGGTGAGCGGAGCGAACGGGTTTCCTCTCAGCTAGCGTTCAGGACTGATTTGAAGTGGAGTCTGGCAATTGTTTTAGGAGGATCAGAGCCAGTTAAAGCTCTGTGCTGTGCCCCCCCTGCCAGTAAGTTGTCATGGTACCGCAGCTGGAACAAGAGATGAATTTTTTTTATTCTGCAGTCTGATATTCCCAGATACTGCAGCCTCTTCTATTAACTGCCCTTGCTCCTCTGCGATCATTCCTCCCAGCAAGTGTCTGATGCTCTGCACTTCTTCAGTACTGTTTTCCTATCATCATCATAACAGTCTGAAGACATTAGACAAACACTTCCACATACCCTTACTTTTACGCATGGGTACGCTGCTGTTGAAGTTACTTTGCTCATATGCCCATAAATTATGCCTAGGCTCAAATCTTCATAAGTAAGCAAGATAAGAGCCCTGTCCTCTGACCCCTTGTTTAGCTAAGTAGTCTGGCATCATGTAAGTGACTCTGTTGGTTTCAGTGAGTCATTCTGCAGGATCTGATCCGGAGCTATTAAAATGCTAAATAAGCCTGCTATTGGCAGCACCAGGGAAGGAAATGCTAATTTCCTAATTTAGGCCAGGTTTTATATATTTTTCGAGTAAATTGAATCGTATTTCACATCATTGTGGTTCAGCTCTCTTTCAGAAAAATATTACTCTGTGAAGGAATATGAATTCTGTTTAGAGGAGGCTGAACATGCTAATAGATATTGTTAAAATATTGGGCTATTAAGATCCCATATGTTGGTTTTAGACAATTCTGCTTTCTGAATTGATTTTACGTGAGCCCACAGATAACATGGTACAGTCTTTCCACAGTTACTCTTTACCATCAATATTTCCATTAAGATACATCTTTATATGTTGGAAAGTCAAGGTGCTGGGACTCACCCATTTCCGTTCTGGCCGCTGCTGACTAATTCCAGCTCTCAGATTCTGCAGGACTTTGGAGAAAGGCCGTCATGGGCTTCCCGGAGCAGAGTGAAGTCAGTGCTCATTCTCCGCTGATAACCAGCTGAGCCCGATGGAAATATGTTGTCTCAAATTTAGTGATGTCTCCACAATAGCTTGTGTGAGATTTGCTTAAATGCAAATATCTCCCATGTGCGTTTCACTCCCATTTGAATGGTCAGTGTGGATCAGTCTCAAAGGGTGTTTTTTCTGTCTAAGCTGACATGTCATGGATGAAAACTGAGCTGAGGTTTATCGATGGAAAAGTCTTTGGCTAAAATGAAAGGCCAGTAAGTCCTGCAGTGATGAGCTGTCTCCTTAGAGGAGAGGAACCTGGCTGCAGAACAAGGCTTGGAGCAAGAGCTCCAAGTGTGAGGCATCCAGGTGCTGCTGAAGAGCCGCATGGCAGTACTGTCCCGCAGGGACCGCACAGGCTAGCTTAGGCGTTACACAATTAAAACTAGATCTAGGAGACGTGATGAACTCAGCAGGCTTTCCTGCTGGAGAGGGGCACAACTCGTAGCTGGGGACACCGGCGGGGGTGTCCTTTAGCAAACCCACATATTCCTGCGGGGAGGCCAGGGTTGGGCTTGCCATTGCCCAGCCGGGAGCCCCCTTTCTGGAGAGCTGTGGTTAGTCTCCTGCCTGGTGACAGCAGGGGAAATGACGGCTAGGAAAGGACCTGTTCTTACGCTGCTCCTGGACCCAGAGTAAAGGGACTTTTGGCCTGGCTGGCTATAGCTATTCTTCTGTTCTCAGCCTCTTAACAGCAGCAAATCTACTTCTGCAATACTTGAATCAAGCAGCAGAGCTAACCCCTTAATGTTTCTTTAAATAATGCTTATGCCCTGATTCAGAAGCATATCCAAATTTCCTGTAAGGGAGCCCTTTTCCCACAGAACAGCTAGCACAACCCAGGAATAAGTTGAAGACTGGCTGCAGTGAGACAGCCAATCTCTGTAGCGTTTTGTGTGCAAGCAGAGTGGTACGTAGCAACGCGATGCTCATCTGACATGAGCACGACAAAACTGGCGCCAGTACATTCCTCACAATTAAATATTTCTCCTCTTGTGGAGCCCACTGCCAGTTTGTGGATCTATTAGATAGATCTGTCCCTCTTTGTAATGCCATGCATTTTCACTAGCACTGGCCCAGTGATGAATGTGGCCTGTCACTTACACTGCCTTCCCGGGGGAAGGCTATTAGTTTTTTAAGCGTATTTTTTTTTTTCTTCAGAGGAAAAATAAACTAAAAGGGGCAGCTGCTGGAAAGCTGCATATGTTCAGGCCGTCATGGAAAGCGGGGAAGGCAAAGCTGAAGTATCATAGAGAATAATTCCCCATATACTTAATGTACAGATTCAGGTATTCTGGCTGCTCAGATACAGAGCTCATGACCGAGAGGACACCGCACAGAAATCTGATGGAAAACTAGCTCCTGCACACAGAGTCTGTGGTCGCTTATAGTCCCCCTCCCTGTGGATGAGTCTTGTTTTGGCCAGTGCGTTACTGCCACCCCTCCTGGTATCCGCAGGTCCCTCGGATTTGCAGACAGCTAGTGGAAATGGCAGGAAGCACCAGGCAGGTCGGGGAAACCGGGCAGAGGTAAGGTCGCAGCAGAAGAGGGCTGTTTTTGCATTGTGAGCAACAGGCGTATTTTGCCCCCTGCCTCCTGGCAGACTTCCCGCCTGGGTTTGTCTCCTGTGCTGGACATATGTTTGCTTTGGGCAGGATATACAAGTGAAATCCTGGCTCCATGCAAGCTCAGCCTGACCGTTGCAGCTGTAGCACTGTCCGCCCAGGCCAGGTGTCTTCACCACCGATTACAAAATAATTGCATTAAAAACAGCAACTGATCCTGCAGAAAATAATTAAGCAGAGATGAAATAAAAACTCATCCTGCCTTCTCTTAGATGACACCCATCTCTTTTCTTATGTTTCCCTTTGCAAAAGCCTCAGGTCCAGGTTTACTCTACAGTTTAGTGCCTTTCATTCATCTTATCGGGTAGAGCCAGGGCATACAACAGGAATTACAGAAGCAATTGTGTATTGACAAGGCACACTTTATGACACATTTTATACAATCCCACTTGATTTTAGCATGGTGCCAAAGCAAACCTCACTAAGAATTATAGCTCTATTTTGTACTACAAAAGCCTGGAATAGCAGATGCAATATTCAACGTATATTTGTTTAATTCAAACTGTCATTTCAATCTGTCTTCTCATTACCAAGTGAAGAAAAAAAAAAAAGGTCTTGCATTATCTCACAGCAGGAACCGCAGTACTGATGGACAGTAATAGCGTTTGTACTCTGTGTTGGCCAGGGCATGCAGCTGTGCGTTATGCGATTGTAATCTCCCCTGGTGAGAGGAGTTGCTTGTTGAGACAACAAATAGCCACAGTGTTTGCCCTGGACATCCTCGAAATGAGCGAAGGCGCTAAAAATGAACGAGAGCGGCAACAGGGAGGCATTTGCAGCGCTTCACGCTCCGTCGCTGCGCCAGCCAGGCCCCGCGTGCAGCCTCCGGCTGCGCCCAACGCCGCTCCCCGCTCCCAGGACGTGGCTTCACCGCAAGCCACGTGGGTTAATCACGCTGC